CCATTTTCAATGCTCCCTGGCGCGCTCTGTCTCTCTCTCTCTCTCTCTCTCTCTCTCACACACAGACTCTTATAACAAACTCTTATGTCGTTAAGTTCAATGCATTTCATTTTGTTCACTGAATCTGTCTGTTTGCCTAGTGCATAACGAAATTCAACTGTTTTGTTCAACTTTACTTCCGCATTTTCGATCGCTACACACATTCGCCGCCAGTTCACTGGAAATTGTTTTTAATATTTTCGTTTAAAGTTTATTTCTTATTCTATGTTGTTCATTTTTTCTTCTTTATTAACGATTGTTGCCATAGATTTGTACATCTGCAACGACGTAAACATAAATTTTCATTCGTTTCGTTTGTTTTGTTGTACGTGTGTGTCTCTGTACAAATGCTTTGTTACTAGTTGTTAGAGTTTTATTTTATTTTTCCTTCTTTTTCTTCTGTGTAAAATTCGTCTGATGTTGTTGCTTTTATTTTTTTTTTCTCTGTTTCTCTATTGTTTTTCTTCAGTTTATGACGGCTTTTTTCTCCTCTCCTTTCCATTTTGGTCGTTAAGCAGAGAGCTTCTACGGAAAAAAATCATTGTGTTGACTGTTTAAATTTTCTTCGCTTTTTTCCAGAGAAATGCAACTTAGCCGTCTTTCAATTTTCAATTGGGCTTTTCTGTGCGTTTCACTTCTATTTTTTTGCCCGCACTTCATCTCTTCGTATACTATGTTATGCCGGGTTTGGCCAAAAACGCGCCACTGTTTCAAACAGCACTTTGGCTACTTTCATAATTAGAGGCGGTAAATTATCACTATGTTGTTTCTTAAATAGTTTTTCTATTTTTGTTTTTAAGCATTTTAGAACTTGAGGCGTTAGAGAGCGAGAATGAGAGAACGATATAGATCTTTGTTAGCGAAAAATCTTCAAATTCAGTGAATTTTCCACTAGATTTATGTCTTGGTCGATTTTAAGCATCTGCGTTAGACTTTCAGAAGGATTGAGTGTATCTCATTCACCATTTCTATTTCAAGCCCAACCTCCCTCTCTCACACTCTTTCTGCGAAGGAAATACCATAATTTGTGCGTGCAATTTGAAGCCAAGCGTTGAGTGCGACAAACACGTTTCGTATTACAAATGAAACGCGATCGGAAGACGAGTAACGATTTATTGCATTTGCTTCTCTATTTCTTTTTAGATAATCGAGCGCAACATTCCGCAATATTTTCCGAAATTCCAATTGAATTGCTGTTTTTGTCGTCGTCAAATTGTGTAAAACAATGGAATGCAGTTGATAATAGTGTTTGCATCTTGCATTCCAATTTGGATTCTTGAAAATGTGCGTTGGCATTTGTACAAGCCCGCATAACTAGAAATAACTGTTCTGTGGTTGTGCCAATGGCAATTTTCTGCTCCAGTTTTTCGAATCGGCAAATGACTTTGGATGGCAGTAGGGTTTTTGGCTGAAATCAATATCTTGGTAAAAAGCAAACAAACATATGTTCTGTCCATTGTTCGGTTCCGTTACCATCCATTTCATCATTTTAATTTTCTCAAGTGATCATCATCTAACGGTATTGTATGCCATTATTAAATAGCCGCAATGCAATAAGTTTTTTGTGTGAAACCAGTTTTCTCAATGTGTGGCGTAGGAAATTTGTATACACGCATCCATTTACGCATTTGCAAAGCAAAGCACAGCCATTTGATCGGAATGTTGTGTTTTTGTTTTGGACTTTGGACGTCCAACACTTACGCAAAATGTATCATCAATGATATTTGTATTAGAAGAGAGGATTTCAAGTGGAGCCATTTTGATAAAGAGGAAAATCGAGTGTGTTATTAAAACCAGCATGTTCGAATTGTGTTTGGTCGATGATGTTTTGCTCTTCAATCGGTAATTGTATAGTGATTTGAGTGCAGAAACAGCTATAAAATATATGTAAAATGTTTGCACAGTGAGTGGGAATAAACTTGGCGTTGATTTGTCGAATCATTCTACAACTCTTTATATTTTTTGGTTCGTCTGCATTCGCTCTATTTGCTGGGTGTGATTGTCGTTAACATTCGAACGATTTTACAATGTGGCACACAGTATGAGGCGAGATGTGCCGTTTAAATCGCCCAAATGAAAATGAAAATCCGCTTCAACGAGAATATGTGTCATAAGCGCGCCGCGTCGAAAAAGACACACCACCATCCAGTATCCATGTCAACTCTTAAAAGCATAACAAACTTGCTTGTATCTCGTTTATTGCGGACCAAAAATTCGCATACCAGCGCCTGAATTCAGTTCCGTTTTTTTTTCATCGCCCTTTTTTCTTTTTCTTCGGCGTTCTTTTCTTTGTGTGTGTGTTACTCGTTACACAGACGACAATATCAATTTTTTATTGCCAACACGAGTAAAATGTACAATTGGTGCCAACACAATCTCAAAAATGAAAAACAGACAGGAAGAAACAGAGTTATATCGATGCTCATCAGTTTGATAGATACGTATCTATCCATGTAATATAATAAACATTGTTGTGATTATATGAGAGAATTTCGATATCTGGGCCAATGTATGCAGTAACTTTTGGCAATCGTTCTTATCCAAACAAAAAAAAATATATATGGTATAGGTCTGTGTGCATGTGTTGATCACTCTGGTTCTCTTATTTGTTCCCAGTCATGTCTTGACAGAGCTACATTATCTTATGCACTCGATATGCAGCCACCACCATCAAAAGCAAAAACGAAAGAAAAAAACTGGCCAATATAACACACCATTTTGTGTTGGCTGCACAGCTGCTCTGGCTGTTTCACTTGATAATACTCGCTTTGTGCACATAAAAATAAAAATTATTTTTAATTTCTTTCCATTATTTTCTGACTACGCCTCACATTCTCATTCGGTCTTTGTTTTGCTGCTTCAGCGCTTGCTGCACTATTTCGATGAGCTTTTCCCTTCACAATCATTTTTTTCTTCTTCTTTCGTTTGTCCATCTGTCTCACCCGTTTGCCCATTTAACGCTTTTTCGTTCACGCTTTCGATTGACTCGTTAGTTTTTATTTTCTGACATTCTCGATTCGCCTTGTTTTTCCTTTTGTTGCACTCTATGCGGATAGTTTCACAGATTTTTCACGTTTTTCTTCGACCGCTCGTCTACATTTTCTATATTGGAGAATATTCCGTAATAGCACGGAAAAAATTTATTGAGATGCATGATAGTTATTTGGCCAAAATTAAAAAAAAGAGAACCCAACCAAGTTGAATCGTTTAACGATCAATCTAAGAAGAAAAAATTAAAATATGGACAGTGGACACAAGCAAAAAGTTACAAGATATTCAAAATGCCGGGACATTGCAATTACTTAAGATTGTGAGCTTATTCATGAATCGCATTGCACTCATCATTATTCATTCAGAACATATTTAATTTCATTATGAAATAAAATGAGCAGCAAAAAAATTGGCGAAAAGGAGACGAAACAAAGTCAATATTTATTTATTTTCGATTATTCGAATTCATAGTGAGAGTAAGATGTAAATTTATTTATAATATCCAAATGCCAATATTTTATCGTTTTAATTTGATCTATAATTCAAGCATTTACGTGGAAATTATGGTAAGTTGTACTTTTCATTGTTATATAGAATGTTCAATATCACATGAACACGCATTTTCCTGTTGACTTTCCCGGTTATAAGTTGGAAAGCAGTACATTCCATCGAATTGGTTGGAAAAAACGACACATAGATGGCATTTAACAAATTGTTGTTTTTTGAGTGAATTTTATTCGATTGAATTCAAATTGAAATAACATATGCCATCTCCACTACAAAATTTACTATAAAAACAAACGACAACGTTAAAATTTACGAACTTGCTATTATTTCCAGTTGTGTGTCGTATCACACTACCTGTTTCTTTCGGGCTCACCCTCTCTTTGGAAACCTTTGTAGATTTTCAGATCAGAAATTGCGAATGAAGCTTATCCGTTATCAAAATGATCTGGGAACGCAAATTGAGATAAAATGTTGGGATTTGAAATGAATGGGATCATGGGATGTATAAAATTGAACATATTCGTGGTACGGTTAAAAATATTTAACTAACAATCTGATAATAGTAAATCACGAAACATTCTTAATTGTTTTGTTCATTCCAATTCTCACTTACAATAACATTAACAACAATAAGAACATTCAATTTATTAATCATGTGTCATATGACTCACGCTAAGTGGCTAGAATCATGTTCAACTTATGTGTTTACATGCATTGGGCTTTTACACACTCAAATCGCTCAAGTAATGTATATTAAATGAAAAAAAAAACATCGAATTGACCGCAAGTGTTTAGCTTTACTCTCTTGGATATAATTTCGTGATTCTTAGTTCGTGTGCGAATTGCAACAATGCGACCTGAATATCGGCCAGTGACTCATTTTATGTTTAATTCAATTTGAATAAAAGAAAAAAAAACAAAATTATTCAATTGTGTTCATGATAACATTTTACACAATTGAATATAAATCACTGATAACTGTATTGTAGGTTATCATGCCAAAATGAATATTATTTATCTTCATCGTTATTGAAAGTAACGAGATGGAAACGTTTTGTCTGTCAGTTTGGAATAGAAAAAACTCGATGTTTTTACTTCTTCATCTCATTTGAAAGTCAGACAGTGATCAAATCTACATCATTCGCATCACACACTTTGTGCCAAGATCAATTGGCTTTTTTACTACACACCCGGAAATAACCAAATACTCAACGTTTGAAGGAGAATAATAAAATCGTTCGTATTTGAATCGATAAAGTTTTGCTATCAATAATGAATTCTGAATTCAGCATCAATGGATAAACTCATTTGCATGGATTAAACATTTGCCTGTGCGTATATTCATTCATCGTCTAATCTAGTCTGGTAACATATTTATCAATATTTAAAAATAACACAGAAGTGAATCTGACCTTGGCTCGATATCAAACATTCGCAAAGAAATAAACAAATAGCACACATTGGATTTCAGTTGCGCGTGGGACTTTGAAGCGATAGGTTCAAGTGAACTCAAATCTATGCGAATATAATAAAAAAATACATATCCGTATAAAATTTTTATCATATGCCAAATTGTATTTTTATCTCTTTGACTTTAAACGAATTTAAAAAATCAATTTGCGGAAAGAGTGAATAAAAGGTGATATAAAACACGTAATAAACAAAATTTCCAAAAACTACTTGAAAGTGTTTGTGCATGAACAATTGTTGATATATATTGAATCGCCAACAAAAAATGGGACTGCAGAAAAGTTAAAGAATTTGAATGTCAATGTTAGGTCATGCTGTGTGCGCAATATTAATTGGTATTAGTTTAACAGACAGGTGTTCTTGGTAAGTTTTTTAGTGCCAAAGAACAAAAAATTAAGTCTATATTAAAATATAAATTCACTTTGAATGCGATCGATGAACAATAGAAGATATGGCACCTTGACACGTGAATAATTTATATCAACTGGTTTGTGCTACAAAAAAAAATTACAATACATTTTAATCACAGTTTATGAACAAATTATTACCGAAATCAAACAAAAACGAAATAAAACCGTTGTGCGAGTGTGGAAAGTAAATGTTTGTATTACCTACAGAATTCACAAAATCGTACTGACGTTAAATACAGACCATCATAAACAGTATTTTGCAAGTGTTAATATTGATTCATATTCGTAAAAATTGGATCGTTCGCGTAAAAAATTGGACTTAAACTAGGTCAACGAAAGTGAATCTCACCAAATTGTGTAAAGATAGGGGGTACTTTTTTTATCTAAAGTCATTTAGATTTTATTGACAATTAATTGTTTTGCTTACACTTATTATCACATTAATCACAATGTCGTTAACCTATAGCGAACACTCACATTCATCCGTGTAACTTGCATGTGTGTTTTATTGAATATTCAACCTAAATGTTTGATTTTGTATTATTATTTATAAATAAACTTGTCTTATCATTGTTTCATTCAGTTTGAGCAAGATCGCGAACAAATTGAAGCTTGGGATTAAAGTGCTATTATTACACAAAAGTTCGAGTTGAATCAAATTACAAAATAGATTTTTCTTAAACAAAACAAACGTTTTTTTTATATTAGTGTTCAGAGAAATTGAACAGTGCAAATTGAGTGGTAAACATCGTATCAATGACCTTTTAACATGGTCGAAATGATCTCAACTTATTTATCGTGTAAAATGAAAGTGGCCGAATTTACAGTTCTTAACTCACCAAAAAAGATTTAATACGAAAATTTCGACCGGGTTAAGCTGCCATGTTACTCTGATTACTTTTAGTTTTGCCATGTGTATTTTTTTAGTCAGTTTCAAATATTCAAAAGTATTGATCTTCTACCTCCATTCACAAATTCTTGAAAAATTGACATTGAATTTCATTGGAAAAGATCACAAAAACATACAACCAGCGTTACTTCGATAAAAAAATGTGTCTATTTATTTGAAACTAACAATGGATTTATGCTGCACACCGCCGTTGCATGTAGCATTGACAATTCAAAGTCATGGTGTATACGTTGTGTGTCAATATTATACTTGTTATCAATCCATGAAATTCATTTCGATCCTTATTTAAAAAATCTAAGCTAACATTGATCAAAACTCAAAATATTGCTGAAAATTTACCATAGCTTTTTACATTTGTTCGACTTAAAAAAACATAACTTAAAAAAATGTAAAAAAATTAGCCGGTAGTTAAGCTATTTGGTCCATTTTTCCTTTGAAAATCCAAACGAACCAAAATGCGCAAAAAATATGAAAGATGAAATTTGATCATACACTTTTAATTCAAGAGTCTTAAGTGAAGTAATATTTTTTCCTCTATTCCAAAATCCAACTCAAGTGAAAGAAAAACTTGTAAAAGTTTTATTATTTTTTAGAGAAATCATAATGAAAATTATGAAATGGATTTAATACAAAATCAAAACGACCGCCGGATTGCAGTCCAAGCAAAACTTATTGATCAATTTTTCCAAAAAAAAAATGCATTTTTAATACATCTGAAAATCTGAAAATAGTGAATCGTTAAAAAAAATCGCCAAATTTTGCAAATCATATCTCAGTGTTCGGTCTCCACTTTTGCAACGTAGACCATGTGGAATCAAATATTTTCAAATAAATTCAAAGTTATAAGTTTTATAAGCGGGAAGTTCAATGCTTTTTTAAAATTAGGTTTTATGTATCTCATTTAAATAGATAACAAAAACATTTTAAATATACGTCTGTTATGCGAAATACCTTGTGACAATGTGAACTCTCAGTTTAACATACCGGTTTTACTTCCAGTTTTTTGTGTCTTAAAATGACTCTTGTTGTGACACACATGTGTATGAGCCTCGTCTCTGATTTTGATTTCTGTTAAAATATCAATAGTTGTCAATAGACAAATGTCTCAATTGTATTGTCTACTTTTGCAAAATATTTTTTGCTTGTAAGAAGAATATAATTTTTTATTATAGTTTTATTGTATTAATGCGGCATATGTGCTACGATAAAATCGCGTGCACCAATCACATGCCAACATGCACATAGACCAATTAAAAAATAATTAATTTTATATAATCTATTCTTTCAAGGTTTTATTTAGCGCACTGACAGACATTTTATTACACAAAGAAAGTTTAATAATGAACTTGTATCAAAGTTCGGGCACCAGTTTACTGGTGTATTGTGAGATAATCTTTTTGGTTGGATTTTGTATGACCAAAAACCATGGATCAGCACATAAAATTAAAGGAAAAAAACCGAATATAATCATTATTGTTGCCGATGATATGGTAGGAAATAATGAAATAGAAATTTAAAAGAATGGAAATAATTTGGAAAAATTATGCAATTTCAAGGGTTTTAATGATGCCAGCATTCATGGTTCCAACCAAATACCCACGCCAAATATCGATGCTTTAGGAATCATGGGAGTACAATTGAATAGGCATTATACAGCGCCAATGTGTAAATTTGATGATTTATTTAGAAAATCTTTTGGAAGAAGGAAAATGTTAATGTCTCATTTTAGGCACACCTTCACGTTCTTCTTTACTGACAGGAAAATATGAATCCAACTTGGGTATTTAAAGTATACTTCTTTAAAGTTATTGTTACAAAAAAAAAACGCGAAAACTTTTCCAATTCTCTTAGGTATGCAGCACTTTGTCATCCCTAGCAATGCTCCATACGGCTTAGATCCTTGCGAAAAAACTATGGCTAACTATATGAAAGACGGTGGATATCGAACATATCTTGTTGGAAAATGGCATTTGGGCTTTTTTGAAAAAAGATACACACCATTGTATCGAGGTTTTGACTCACACTTTGGATACCTTGGGCCATATATTGATTACTTCAACCACAGTTTGTCAATTGTAAATGTTTGATTTGTACTAATATCATTGACTAGACCATGGATGGCGATAGATTACATGTTTTTCAAAGAATTTCTTGTGAATCATTGGTAAAATTTGATAAACGTCATACTTATCACAATTTTTTAGGTACCAATACCTGAAATGGCCAGTGGATATGACATGCGCAAAAACTTAAGCGTTCATTGGGATACAATAAATCAATATGCAACCGATCTCTTCACTGATAAGGCAATAGAAACGATACAAACTCATGATAAAAATAAACCAATGTTCATGATGCTGTCACATTTGGCACCTCACACAGCCAATGAATTTGATCCGATGCAAGCGCCAGAAGATGAAATTAACAAATTCGAATACATTAAAAACGAAAAACGACGAGTATATGCTGCAATGGTTTCAAAGCTGGACGAGGGTGTGGGAAAGGTTGTAAAAGCTCTTGATCAAAATAAAATGCTTGAGAATAGCATTATTTTGTTTTTTTCCGACAATGGATCGCCAATTGTTGGGGAACATGCAAACGCTGGTTCCAATTTTCCATTTAAGGGTCAAAAAGACAGTCCTTGGGAAGGTGCAACGCGAAACTTAGCCGCTATATGGAGTCTTCATTTGAAACGACGGCAACGTGTCTCAAATGAAATGTTCCACATATCCGATTGGTTGCCAACATTTGCCAAAATTGCTGGTTTCAATATTGAAGGTCCAATTGATGGAAAGAATATTTGGAATTCATTGTCATATGACCTACCAAGTCCACGCCGTGATGTTCTATTGCATCATGATCCTGAAGTTCCATATATGGCATATATCAGTGAAAATTTGAAGCTAGTATCTGGTTCAACCTATGATGGAATGTATGACAAGTGGCTCAGCGAACCAATTGATCAATCGGAAGAGAATTCAACATTCGGCGAGAAATACAGTGAAGCAATTTTAAGCTCAAATGTTGGACAAGTGTTACAAAAATACTCAACATCAAATCGAAATAAATTCTATAATTATGTTGAAACTGACTCGCATACCATTTCGGCTGATGAAATAAACGAAATTCGATTTAAGGCCAAAGTGACATGCAATGGAAACATACCACCAAATAATAATAATTCTGTTGCGGCATGCAATCCAATTATATCACCCTGTTTATTTAATATTTCCGATGATCCGTGTGAAACCACAAATATTGCAGCACAATTTCCAGATATCGTAAAGAAACTAGAATCAAAATTAGATTATTATTGTGAAATTGCAAAACCTATACGAAACAAACCAGGCGATCCGCGATCGAACCCGGCAAACTTTGGAGGAATTTGGACCTGGTGGTATGATGAGCTTAACATTACAACGCAAAGTACGGGTAAAGTGAAAATGTAATTGAACATAAATGTAGTCGTGTAACTATTTGTATTTGTATGTAGCTTGGCGCATGGGAGAACACTCTTTACAAACCCACATTCCATTTCATATATGTGTAGCTGTATGTTGCTGTTTTTTTTTTTGGCTTTTTGACACTTTATTTTTTGTCTTTTTTAACTTATGGAAATTAATTTTTTTTATTTCATTAATAACATTTTAGATTGTTGCAATGATCATCACAAGAAAGATGGCGTGGCTTTGAAAATATCATCAATTTATTAAGTATAAGTAAACTGTAAGTAAATTCGAATTAAACTTTTCGTTAAGCAGAAAATTGTAAGAAGTCTTGTACGCGAACATAAATAAAGTAAGGAAATACAATGAACAAATGGTTATATTTTTAGAGAAGTTTGTCACACTCATTTGGGTACTATGATGAAGATCATTCTAACTTATCTCCTGATGGTAATAAAACTACACACAAGAGAAAAACCCAACAAATTATTTTAGGATCCCTATTAAAAAATGAATTTGTAAGGTTTCCTTATAAAATCGCAATATTTTAACAGGAATCCTAATAAATTGGCGCGTCCAAACGTCAAAGCCAACTTCACTGTGTTGAAACAAAACATTTTTATTATTTAAAGGTTTCCTGATAAAATGTTCCAATATTATAAGGAAACCTTACAAATTAATATTTTAATAGGAATCCTAAAATAATTTGTCAGGCTTATTTTTTGTGTGTACAATTATCAGATAAATGTATCATCTACAAACATCGATAAGAATATTTAAAGTGAAGTAGCTGAAAAAACCACAGAGAAAACTTTAACTTAACTTTAATTTTAATAAATCTTTTTCAAAAGAGCAGTTAGAATATGTTCGAGATTTCAAATGTGTAGGGTAAATTTTTTATTCATCAATTTTCCAGCAGATTCGACGATTCACGTGGTTTCCATGAGTTTTGCATACCCATCACCTTGCTGTATTACGGCCTAATCCCAGCGGATAAATTATGTTTCTTTAGCAGTACGATATAAATAGTGTACTATTGGTACAATTTGATTTTGCGACAACAACAATTTGTTTCGACATGCTCTATGCAAAGGCCATTGAACTTGAAAAATAATTCTTTATCATTAACAAAACAATGACAAAAAATGAATTGAGTGATTTTTTTATAATTTGAGACATAGATGGCATTGTGTTACTTCACTCAATTGTTTCATATATATGGGAGAGGAGAAAATATCATGACCGTCTCCATTACAATGAATTAACTATTTGAATTCATCTTGATCGTATTTTCATACTAAAATGTTGTTTTTCATTTAAGATCTGCAAAAAAACAAATCATGAAAGAAATGAAAGAAAAATGGTTTCTTAAATCAATTAGCAAAATCTTTTATTTTATCAAAAATAGCATGATTTACGTTCAAATTTGATATTTATCTCTTTTAAACTCCAACTGAAGTTTACAATGTTTACGTTTATCTATAAATACTATTTTTTTGTTGTAAATGCTACATAGTTTAGGTATAAAAAAAATGTCCATAAAAATGATAGATGTTGATTCTTTTTCCTGCTTTAGCTGCTAGTAAAAAATTTTGTTGATTTTCATTCAAATCGAAAATTGGTTTTAAAAAAATGCAAGTGTAATCTTAAATGTACATATGAAATTAATACTTCTAAATGATGGTTTGTTTTTCTTCGTTCCAAGTAGGATTGTATTTCGATATTAATTGAATGTTGCATGCCATTCGAAAATGTTTAATTTTGGAAATTATTTCTTTTTTTCGATTTTTCGTCTTTTCATAAATAAATACATTGCGTATGTTTATCAAATACTTGTTAATAAGCTACTTTTCTTCATTCGTTAACGATTTCTAAGTTTTGTTCAAAAAAAAAAAAAAAACATTGCTCCACATCATTAATCACAGAATTGTTTCATAACGAACGATAAAACTGAGAAAAAGGTGGTCAAATTTTGTGGTAAAAAGAAAATTCTGTGAAAATGGTTTCAATTTATCTCTTTTTTTATGAAACAAAAAATGAATTTGCAATCAATAATTTGAGTATTCAAAAAGGGGCCGGAGGGAAAAAAGATCCATCTATCTTTCGAATTGAAATTTATTCGAACTAAAACGTTCCGAAAATATCGCCAATGCTTACGCTAAAATGCATTTGGATTTGGCACAATGTGAATTGGAACATAAATTGTATTGCATATCCAAAGCTCATTACATTAACATGCTACCGATTGCCGATCGTGGAATGACAATATCCATCAATTCATTCGAAAATGTGGATTATAAAACTTAGTTACAGTCTCATTCTAAATGTTTTTTTTTGTTTCTTCTTCTTTTTCGTTAAAATCTAACAGATCGTTTGCAATGTTAAAAACGTGTGAATTTGTTCTGTGGCTTAATTAAAATTCATTTTGTTTTGTTTTTTTATTCCTAAGTGCAATTTTCTAAGGTTTTTCATCGATTTGATGATTTTTCCGCATTTCCAGTCGTTCCAACAATTGGGTCAGCACATCTTTGTAAATAATTGGATCCAAATTTTGGCTGAGCATATAGATGAGCCACCAATCGCCGACATCAAGCTTGTGTGATATTTTCCGCGTAACTTCTTGTGGTATCATTCGATTTTTGGCACTCAAAATCATTGCACGAAAACTCGACATCGAGATGATCAAAATACTGTGGAAAAATACGGAAAAAAAATCATCAATTGTTCATTCAATGCGTTTTGAACTCGATTGATTTAGGCAACGATCAAACTCACCGATAGATCAATAATCCAATCAACAGGAATAGCATTACGAAGTACCAAATCCAAATGAATATGTATGTCTTCTCATTCACGATATTCAAAGGCAGTACACAGAGTGCGTCGTGCTTTTGAATGCTTCCGCTAGCACCGTATTTATGGAAAATACACTTTGTTATGCGAGGAAACACATATACCTAACGCAACAAAGTAAAAAATGATGAGATTTAGAAAATTATCTATATTTTATTTGAATACACCTACCATTGGATCATATCTCTGTTCTTGCGGCGTATCTGAAAGATTCATCACACGCCAACCATACGAAAAGAATTCACCGTCGAAGAATCGGTCCATTAACCACATTTGCAAAATGATATTTATCAGGCACAACAGTTCACATCCCCAATACCGAATGGCATACAATTTGTGGCGCTAACGAAAACGAAAAACATCGAAATCAATAAAATAACCATTTAAACATAACTATTAAAATTTGAAACTAGCCTTATTTAATGGCAAGACTAAAATTAATTGCATGGTATTTGTGTTTTTGTTATTTGGTTTGTATGAACTATGAACACAGTACATTGGCAATTTCCATAAATTACTGCTTTTAAAATCAATCAAGATCAATAAATGCACTGACATTGCAGCAATCATAGTTATCATACTCGATAGTTGTTTCAATTTCTTCAGATTGGTTCGATAGCCGATCGATTTATAAAAATAAAACTGGTTCTTGTCATCGATTAAAATTGCGTAATGCATTTGATAAATCGTAAATTGAAAGTGGACGCAGTCAAATATGGCTCAAGTTTCTCCATTAAAATAGCAAAGTGTAAATACTTGATGTCTTTGCAAACGATTGCATTTACGTTTTAATAATTGTTCAACAGGTTTTGACGCGACGACACAGATGGCCAATGTTCATCAAACAAGTGTTATGAATGAACCATAAATACGTTTAATAGTTGTTCGTTTTACTTCTTTTATCTCTTTCAATGGATTTTTATCTATCCTTCATTTCTTTTAATCGATCAGTTCAAATTATTATTGATCACGAAAAAATAATGTCATTGACATGTTGTCAACGTTTTTTAACTTGAAGGTGTTGGAAAGGCTTATTAAATAAGGTAATCCCTTTAAAAAGTGACAAAAGTAAAAAAAAAACTTTTTAGAATATTAGATTTAGATCCAAATACATTTTCAAAATAACTAATTGCAAAACCACTGAAGGCGAATTTGTATTAATCATCGACGAACAAGGTCAAATTATTCTCTTTTTCTATATCATAAATCCAGTGAAGTATTTGCATAAATCTCGCAACTTTCAAATTGTTTATTTGGTTGAGTGTCTAATTACCAAATTGATTTATGTTTTGCTATAGCTAGTTTTTAGCTACTGAAATGCGAATGAATATTTTTTTTTAAATTGAATAAGATTTATTCGCCTCTCAACTAACTCACGATGTTTGACCACTTTTTTCTTCTACCGATTTGCGAATTATTGCGTTACATTTTGCGTGCACGATAATCTGAATATATGTACCTGCCATCGTTGATTGTGGCATAGAAAACTGGCAAATGAGAACAAACTTAATTTTACAAAATAACCGATTAACCGCATGCAAAACTTGAGTGGTTAGTTTATATGATTCGCAGTTTCATTTTCTTGCTCATTTATTTTTAAACAGAATTGAAATAAGAAAAATTACCTTTAAATGGCTAGTTAGATAGCCTAGGATGACACTTTTCTTGGCTGTTTTCTCTTCTTCACGACAAATGCCAAGATTCAGTCCCATTACAATCATTCGAAGTAATCCACCCTCAAATGCATCCCAAAGAAATTTCGGTGTATAACAAGCGAGTGCCTGTAATAAGAAAATAATGTTAGAAGAAAAAAAAAATCAAATTGTCATTTAAAAAAACATTCCAATTGTGAATCATGCTTATAGAAAAATGACACGCGCTCAACGCCTACCATACTGGCATCGAAATGCTTACATCTAAAATTACAGTAAATAGCTGTCATGAATTGACGCTCGTGTCTTTATACATGTAAAATAAACAGGTGGCAGACTTAATCGTGCCCATTAAGCTAAAAAAAACCTCGATGTATTTGTACTATGTAAACTTTGTACTGTCAGTGGAACTACGGTATATATCGAATTATTAAACCAGTTTTAATTAGAACAAACAAGCATTTGATTTTATCCTAATTTTGGTGGTATTTTTTCGATTTTAATTGATTGGCTGTGTATTCGTGTGCAATATTACATTCGAGAGAAATGACATTTTATGGACTGATCACGATGTCATACACTTACACAATATTTTCAACATTTTATGTTTTATTCATGATGCATGGACTTTCATATCGCCAAACAATGGAACAATGTATATATCTAAACAGGGCTTTTGATTACTATTTACTGAGGAAATGCGAATAATTTGTATGCACGACTTATAATTTGTCATTAGACATAGTTCAACGAAAATGACACATTCTATTTTCATTCTTCCATTAAATTCATTTGCATTTAACATTGGGCCACACGGTGGAATCACGAAAATAATTCACTGGCTGGATTACAGGTCGATCGAAGTCTGTCGCAATTTGCACATATAAAATATTCATTTGAAATAAAAAATAAAATAAAATATGTGAGCCTGAAGTTAATATACCTATGGAAGAACGAACAGGTAATGTACATTTATATTTGATTACAGAATTGAATACGTAATCATGTTTTATGATTTTTTTAAGCAAAGTTTATCAGTTTTATTGCAAAAAAACTAACAATGAGACCCATGGAGAGAGCAAGAGAGGGCAATGAGGTACTGTGGGATATTGTCAGTTTCATCTTCGTTATATATTCATTACACCAGCTGATGCGTCTCTAAATATTTCGATTATTTTCTTTGTGCAGCTCTAGTAAATTCTTTTTTATTTCGTGGAATAAAAAAGAAATGGCGATAAACTTTTGAACCGAACTCGCTTTTATCATGTTCATGCGTAAGAGTGATGGCCGGAGTAAACTGTAAACATTGTACGTTACGTGCACAAAATCCCCCGACAAGTTATTTATTTCATTTTATTTTTTTGAAAAAAATATTAAATTACGTGATGCATTTCCCCTGTTTTCAAATGCCAGATACATTGTATATGATAGAGAATGTGAGCGATAAAGAATGAACGATACACATGAAACAATCGAAAGTGTTCCTTGTTGTTGTTGCTGGCTTCATCTCCAATCAACCGTTCATAGTAATAGAAAATAATCAACATTGCATCAAATTTCAACAATATTTTCACACATTCACTTGCGATTTGATGCGCACAATGTGTGCCATACTCTCACGTGAATAAGCTGCATTTTCATCATTGAAGCGCTGTTGTTTTCTACATTCACACATCCATTGTGTGAACATCGTTGTGTGTTTTGTTTTGGTTTGAGAATGCAATATGATCGTTGTGACTATGAGAATCAAGTAGATATATAGGGCACTTTATAAAAATCCCAGTGAGTTAGTGTCTAGTCCATAAGAAAATCGCGAACTTTTCGAATGTGCGAATTTAATACGGTCACACAATTTAACCTCTCGCACATAAAAACAAGATTCTTTTTCCTTGAATCTATATACGCTGAAATAGCAGTCTTTATGAAAAATTAAACCAAAACCTTGACTCCATAAACATGTTCAGCTGATTTATAGTCATGCCAAATTGAGTTCGAGTACTTGTTGAATGTCTTTTTTAAACATTCTAAATTTCTCAAATAAAATGTTTGAATTTACAAATTTCGCTTACCTGAAAGAATAGCACGAAACACACCCATTGATAATATGTGTAATATTTTTTCGCGTCCTCGTCATTAAAGTCGTTCGAAATACCCGGATGAGCCACAGACACGCCAACTTTCAACTGCAATGATCAAAGAAAAAAAAAAGTTTATATAAAAAACACGAATTAAACAGGAAAAAAGTGTGTTTTATTTTGCCAGCGGCATACTATATGAAATACATTCCCAAAAAGAGAAAATTTATCATTCGCTTTATGAGAGATTTTTTTTTGTCTTGATTTAGTATCGTTTAATTACAAGTTGTTGAAAATTTATCATATTTTTTTTTTCGTCTTGAAACTGGCGAAAAAACGCAGTTTTCTTTCCTCTTTTGATACAATTAAGATTGAATATCGCGATTCGAGCAAAAACCACGCAAACTTTGAAATGCGGCTCGAAAACTTTGATGAATGAAATTACGTAAGTATACTTTTATCAATCAAATTATATCGCTTGAGTAGTTTTTTTTTCTTTCATGATTTTGGAATGAATAAAATGCAATGTTTTTTTGCGTTGATGCATTCAATGCGATTTTTAAAAAGCAATTTAATATCAGCACGATATTAAACGATTTTTTGCTCGAGAAATCTGAATGGTTTTACCTCGCAATCGTGCCTCGTTGGTAAGAAGTTTTACAGTGAAATACTGACATGTTTTGAACTTTTCAAATGTTCCAGTTTTTAGGTGATCTACATAAAAAAAAGTTTCGGTTTAACAATCAGTTGATCTCAATTTCAATACAAAAACTAACATTAACAAGTGAAATCAAATGGACGATTCAGTTGTAAATCAGTTAAATTGAATAATTGAATTTAAATAGTCTCTTCACCCATTTAAATTGCAACAACTAGTTTGTCAAGTGGCTTGGGTGGAAAGAATTGATTTCACCGCCTGAATAAATAATTCATCATTTGAAAATGCAGCAGCATTCTACTCACAATCGAGTTGGCTTAACATTTTCGTTTTTTCTTTTTGTGTTTAATAATCGTCTGCAAATACTTTGAAATAATTTAATATAACTTTGTTCGACATTGGCCAAGAGACATGCGATTTGTAGTGAAGAAAAAACTTAAACATAAAATGAGTCGTCTCGAAGTCGAAATTGAGCAAAAAAATATCAATCCTTTTCAATATATTAAATTGTAATTAGTGTTAGCGTATGAAGTGCTTCACTTGGTCTTCGGAATCGAACGATAACTATTTGTTGTTTGTTCAAATGCGAAGCAAAAATCACGAATTGCTGCCAAACGAAGTGTGTAAATTGTGTGAAATCGGGTTGGACTTGTTGCATGTATAGCATTGCTCGATTTAAAATGAAATGAAACCATTTTAGTCTATTGACACGATTTCCTTTCAATCATTTGTTAATATATCGATTTTTAACAAGTACAAACAAAAAGATAAAATCTTGGTTATTATTCGGTGTAGAATTTCAATTCAAAGTATAAAACAACTGACTTTGCATTGAAATGGATCCCTTAAATTCTGTTGACCTTGTAACAAATACCATAAAATGGCGTGCACTATGACAAAAGGTCCATCCATTGTTGTCGTCAGCTAAAGTTCAATCTGATTGATCCATTCTTTTATTACATTATTATGGTATATTTTGTATAAAACCATGCATAATATGCTTGAGATTACTTCGGCAATACCATTGCATGCCACGAGCATGAAAAATTATAATGTGAAAAAAATGATTTTACTTGCAATTTTAATGAGTTGTGTTTTTTTTTCTCACAGCATGTTTTCCGTTTCGTTCAATTTTCTCTGTCATTTCCATAATTACCAAAACAAATATGCTTTGAAACTGATGTTCTTTTTTTTGGTGTAATAACCCAAGTTTTTATGAGTTTTCTTTCATGAATTGTTTTTTTAACGCTGTGAGAAGCTAGGCAAACGTTAAAATAGTTATAGATGTTGTCACAATTATGAGAATTTGTACTTTGGTAATTTTATGAGAATTTCGGATTCATTTAAAAAGACATAAAATCTATGAAGCACTTAAAACATACCATATCTCTCCCTCTTTAGTGATAATAAATGTTCAAGTGCATTTAAATAATCTTTTTTTCAAATCGGAGAAATACCAGAAGCATTTTCCAGACACTATGCATGATTCATCCGATTTCCTGCTTTGAGTCTTTCGATTTAAAATTCTTCTGAAAAAAGAAACCTAAGCCCAAACCATCTCCAGATAATTGACGTTCGAAAGATAAAAAGTTGCATGTAAAAAGAGAGATAAAAGGACAAGAAATTGGTATAATGTCGAAATATTTCAGATCACTTGTTGAACTATTCACATCATGGAATTTCTATGAATCGGAAAAATATCGAATGGAGCACGTACGCCATATCTCTGTTCAGTTCTCTCTCTTTTTCTCTATTTCTCTTTTTCTATACACGAACTATCGTTCTTATGCTAACTCATGCCGCCAAAACAGGTTTTATGGTTAGTTCACTTGTGTCTTGTTTCTAGTCTAATGTTGCGTTGTACGTGAATATTTAGAACAACGGAGAAAGCAAGCAAAAACATATAAACATCATAATGAATGAAGCAATTTTTGTGTATGTCTTTCGATGCAAGTGCAAAATCTGATTTCTTTTCTCTCGATTGAAAACGAACAAAAAAATACGATTCGAATGTGTGTAAAGAAAATCCATTGTTCTCGGGTAGTGCTTGTGAGACAAGAGAATTCGTTGAATAGAAGAACACGTTTCTATGATTACATCATCATTATGACAAGAATTGTGGTTTTTGAGGTGTCGTCGTCACTGAAGAGTGAAAACAATTTGCTATTTACCCAAAATCGCTTCCTCTTAATACGAGGCTCTTTACAATCTGCGCAATAACAATGCTCCTCTTTAAAAACCCATGCTTTCGACGGCGAATATTTTGCTTGAGATTTCAATACGTTCGACGTTGATCCGAATCCATCAGCATTTGTGAAAGAGGGCCTTTGAGTTCAACGACTCTCTCGAATAGAATAAAAATGTGATGACATGGTTTTGTGCGCGTTTAATGCGCAATGGATTATCTGTGCCGGAATTTGGTCTATTGACAACAATTACATCCAGTGCTTTTGTGTAATTTAATTCAATCAAATTCCACGAACTCGTGCTTCTGTTGATGTTGATCGGTTGCAAAACGCAATTGCAATTCTCTCTTGCATAAAATGCGTGTCAAAGTGTTGAACAATAGGAAAACAGCTTCGCCGACACATTGTTCTGCTGATGATTCTTTCATTGTGTTCAACATATATGCAAATTTGATTTGTAGTGATGATGATTATATTCTAAATTAACCAAATAAAAAAAAACGCTACTATAAATGAATAACACTTACGTGTCGTTGAAATGCATCTGGCATTGTAAATGTGCTCGCAATCCAACAGAAAGTGTTTACAACATGGGTTGGAACACCGTTAACGATGCACGAAATCGGTTGACCGACATATTGTGTTGCGGTTATAACAAGACTGCATGCCAGCAATAGAGCCGTTGTGAATAGATTATGCAATCGAAATATAGCACTATCAGTTGTCACTTCTTGTAATTTAAAATAATCCTTGAGACCACCAAGTAACTTATACATGATTGATCAGTTCTTATCATCGATTCAGTCACACAAATCAAATATTTAAAAAAATTGACAGTTTTCTGACAGCGATACGTAATTTTGTTGATCCTGTTATGGTTCAAATCAGTTCATTATGTAAAATGATGACATTGATTGCCAAATCGATGCAATCACCAAAAAAAAAACCGGCAAATAAACGAATCACTGGGAGATTCTTACACTTTTTCTTTCGAAAATAAAAACTTGTGAAATTCCCGGAATTGTTCGATGATGCTTAAAGTTGATGTAAAACGAAATACAACATTTGTTTCTCTTTTTTAGTCCAATTCACACTTTTTATTGTGTTCCCGTGGCTTTTATTGTTCGTATGCGGTTTAATTTCTTCCTACGTTTGAACAGTGTCCATCCCGTTGGCAATGAAAACAATTCACTAACGCTGATGTAATTTTATGGATTACATTCAACGGGAAAAAAGAGTGGCTTGCAACAAATGTCACAGTCGAATTTGAACACAATTCGGTATTGAAAAAATAATCGAAATTTTTAAATCTCTAATCGAATAAATGTGTGATTTAGTTTTTGGTATACGCTTTGCGCGCGTAAAAATATAAAAAAAAATTCTCACTCGTCAAATCGAAGTAAATGTGTACTGTATTCGATTTACTCCGATACGTTACTACCATAAAACATGTAATGAAACTGTTTGCAAGGCTCCCCTCTCTCTGATTCCAAGCAACGACGCTTTGTTCGTTCGTTCGCTTCGTTTTTGTCTGACAGAGAAACTAAACAACAACAATAATACGTATGTGGTGCCGTGTATTTTGCTGCCGTTCTATAGTTATTAAAGTTGGTTTTCGTTGACGTAGCTGCTGCTGCTGCTGTTGCTTGGTTCGCATCAGCGATGTTGTTAGTTGTTGCTTCAATTTACACAAATACAAGCACAGTTACGCATAAATTATATGAAGTGAATGTGAATGCACCGATACAAATGCCGTATGCGTATTATGTATACGTATACTGTGTATGTGAATGGCAACCAAATATGTACACGTTGTGTCAACTACACGCACAACCGTATAAACAAATGCCGTCTATTCAATAGACCTTTTTTCGTTGTTGCCACTCACACGCACACACTTGCGATGGCATTTGTTTCGAATGCCTATCACGTATGTCGTTTTACACACATTCGATCTGGGCGTGTGTGCATATATTCGTGTGTAAATTCAATTGCATTACCAAGACAAAGAAGCAATGAATGCATTCACACAAAAAACGACACGTTTTCAATTACAACAAAAAAAAAAATGCTCGAACACACGATTCGTTAAAATTTCGTTAAAAAAAACCGTAGGCACACCAAACGAAATCTCATTTGGAATTTTTTTGCTGATGCATTTGCTGACCACAGCAAAGATACGAACATCGTATTTCGAAGAACAAAAAGGTCGCAGTTATACAAAAGAGAGAACACAATCATTTAGAAGACGAACATTTACGTCGAATGCCAGAAAAAGATTCATTTTAATTGAATGTTATTCAATGTTGTAATGGGCACACAGTTTTTTTTTATTTGGCGAACAGACGCTGAAAAAACAGCGACAAAATAATTGAGATTATCATGTTTGGTTAAGCATATGGATTTATTTCAGTCGAGCATTTATCCCTCGCCAATAATTATCGTTTTTTTTGTTTTATGCCCATTTGTACAAATCACAAAACACGCAAACACACGATTCGACGATTTTTTTGTGCCGATGACGGACCGAAACTATCATTTTAGCATAGGAAACAAATGATGCGAGTGTGGACTTTTTTGTATCTGGATTTTAAGTAGAATTTAATCGTCTCCAATAAATGAAATGAGCTTGATTAGATGATGCCGTCTCATATTATGTCGTACATATTTCGCATATTAACCATAATTCAAACACATACAGATTTGTTCTCGGAGTTGACGTTGCCATGGGAAACAGAATCCGTTATGAAAATAATAAACAGCTGATATTTTGCAAACATAGATTTTGCTAGATTCAATCGGACGGTGTTGCGAAACAAAGCAAGCTGCGCATTTTGAATGACAATTTCAACACGAACGATAAAAACATATAAATTCTTTTACGACCAATCGATGTCTTTCAAGAGGACATTTACATTTGGCACGATATTACGTATTTGTTTAAGCCTATTGCATCATTTAATTCCATCATACCCTCATGTCGATGAACGTACCAAAAATGTATGACGTCTATCGATATTTCTATGCTACGCAATACATACAAAATACATTCCCCTCATCCGATGTTTGTCGCATCAAAGACGCACAAATAGATGCATATAATACCCATATTATTACTACGCAATACTTTAACGTCTGGTCTGCATTGAACAAAAAGAACTTTTCCGGTTTACATACTCAATAGCTTACCAAAATTCACAAGCAGGTCACAAAAGTCGTCCCAACTAAATATCAGCATTTTTTTTGTTCGTTTTGGAATTCTAATAATTTGGCCGACTTCCTCTGCTTATTCTTTATACTTTATAAAGGCATTTCACACAATAACCATTTCCGACGGCTCATTTATGGTCGAATGAATACGATGCTCACCAACATATTTCGTTTGAACTATTTGCTATGCTCATTTCACTCCATTGTCAGTTTTACGCACACAAATGAAATATGAAATGACAGTATATTTTATCGTCGTCGTTTAGCTGAAAACAAGTTCTGATTTGAATTGTGCAATCTAAAGATTTCATCAAAATGCGCGCAACCCAAATAAGAAAAAAAATGAACTCTGCTTCACAGCAAGCGAAAGATTTGAAAAAAAGATTTTGAAATTATTTTGTTTATTTGTGAGCCGTATCTTTTTGTATACGCATCAAATTTTAAGATTTCTCGAATGTCTTCTGTCGTGCGTGAAGAGATCCACATCATTTATGGAGTTGGACCGCTGAAAACTGGTTTTACACAGTGAAGAATTAAAAGAGGTAGAGTTCACTTGACGCCCGCGAATGCATTGAAATCTTTCACATTCGACATGAAAACGGTTTATGCCCAGAAAGGCAGTAGCAAGCGACTTTGAGAAGAATGAAATGTGAAAGCAACTCAATTGTTTCGTTCATTAATAAGGATATTTTTTTGGTTCTTTACATGGTTCGCATGGCGACGAGCTTAAATGCACGTCGGTGCACAGTTCGGAATTTGGGACAATGAACTGTAAAATCGGATTATTTATGATATATTTTATATCATACCGTATTGATTTTCAATGAAACAATTTTTTTTTATTCTTTAATTTATTTCCCGATTCTTCTTTCACACGATTTTATATTTAAAAAAAAAAAAACAGAATAATGCAGACAAAACAAGAAATGCGACGATTTGAAAGTAAAATAAATTGTATGACTGCATTTTCGTATCTTTCAACGTAGATCAAATGACCGAAAATCCGCTTATTCCATAGCGTGCATAATGTATATGTTTTCCTGTGCATGTGACACCATGATCCACGAAAACAGCAATCAACTAAATAAATTTTATTCATTTTTTTCTCGTCCCGCAAAACTAAATTACAATACAACGAGTTTGTAATACAGTTGATTTCTGCGGTGTAATCGTGATATTTCATATTCATTGTATGATCGCCGCTGAACGGTGAGTGCCATTAAAGGCATAAAAAGGTGGAAGAATGCTGGAGATCTGCAGTCATTTCGGTAAATGATTATAATCCAAAATATCGATGGAAACAAAAAAAGAGGAATCATGTACGTTCAAATGGCATTTGGCAATGTGTTTGGTTGTTTGAAAATTGTGTGATTTGATCATTCAAGCAGCACTTAATGTCTTTAATTATTTTGACTATCCGATCACTGTCATTAGGCATCAATCAAATTGATTATATTTCGATTTAAAGCCACAAACACGAAACCCATTGTAATTGGGATTGAAGAACTAGCTCTTTTTTGTTCGGAGAAATTGAATGACCGTATTTTCTGCGGTGTGAAATGAACAATTTTAACACCATTTGAACTACATAATTTTCAAGTTCTAATTATAAGTTTGCGTTTGATTCAACGTTAGTTTTGTGTTTGGAGTTCGCACATCGGAAGAGGCTCATTTGTGTGAAAGTTTGGAGAATTTGAAACTCAATTACTGTGTTGTTTGTCGGCTAAAAAATGGCATGTTTGCCCGAAAATTCAGCATGTGTCGGTGATGACTTGGCAACGCAGTCCATATTGTAGACAAACATTTATATAGAATTGCTTATATTTCGATTTCAGATTGTATTTCACTTACAATTCAATTTTATTTTTGTTCATTCGCACTGTGACAATTCACATTGTTTTCCCATGTTTACCTAGAGGCTCAGTTCAACAATTCGCATTAAAAAAACACGTGAAAAGTTCCAAAGCAGACAATATTTTTCGGTGATTGCAAACTCAATTATAGTCGCTGTTTTCTGACACGCTGCGATCGTTCAATATTGTCATGCTTGCAATTATCATCATTTTTTTAGTTAATAAACAACTATTTATATTTGTCCCACATTAAATAAATAAAAAAAATAGCAAACCAATTCAACTACATTTTCAAAGCGAAAATTGAGGAATTTTAATGAGTGGGCTATTATTTTTGTTCGCGGTGACCGAAGGCGACGTTTTGGTCTGATGGGACACTTTGGAAACGTAGAAGAAAGATTCTGAAATTACACCATTGCAAAGATACAATTTCTAGGTGGCTTTGACACAAAAAACGTGTAGGATTATGTAGTTTATTTTTAGACTCAAGTGTCAACAACATTTATCGATACAAAATGAGAGATATCAAAATATGATTGATTTTAAAAGTTTGATTGAGTTTGATTTTTGATTTGTTTATTTCATTTTATTGATATGCGAAAATGGTATTTATATATAAACTTTTGTTTATTTATAATAATTAAAGTATATTCCTTTCGACGAATTTGATCTGTTTGGGTTTGTGATTGATTTCTGTGTAAACCAACTAAAAGTGTCAATATTTTGAGAACATCAGATTGAAAATTAATATTTGAGTATACATTTCCGATTCTGTTAGTAAGTAAAAACATTTATTTACTTTTGACAATTCATCAATTTTTCTTAAAATTAAAAATTGTTTGATCAAATTGCAATTCTCTTATTTATTTTGATGTGATGTAAATTGTCTGTCTATTTGAAGAGAGTGTTGTTGTCGACGATGCAAGAGATAGAGAATCGGTTATCGTTCGACCGCAAATTAAAGTGGCCATTCAAATTATGTGCACATAAAATGTTTGCAATCACAAATTGCATACCCCAACACCATAATTTGCAATATTTAAACAGTGAACAATGAATGGCCGTCGCCTTCAATCGTTTAAAACATTTATGAAAAATAAACATGTAAATAAATTGTATTGCAAGAATACAAGCATAAAAAATCGAAAATAACTTGTTATTCATTTGCTCCGTTCAACTAAACAATTCCATTAAAAATGTCCGCCAGTTTAACCTTATCACTTAACCTAAATTTCATGTATTACATTCTTGAATCAAGAATATCTGTCTCCGCATTCACATGAGCATTGATCGACGAACACATACCAGCGAATAAATTGCTACTTTGCAACAAGAGGCAATCGTGCATGTACAATTGTACAGTGTACTCTATAGATGTATGCGCTTCTCCTTTGAATGAATTGAGACAAAAGTTTCCATTGAAATGAATAAGAATCAAGCGGAAAATGCATTTAACA